AAGACCCGAGCCTTCCTGTATTTATATATTAAATGAAATAACTTAATAAATTAATTGTCAATAAAAAAAAGTAATATATAAATAGTAGTTCGTAAAATCAATATATCCAAATTTGGAGTAATGGGAAAAATATTAATATTAATATTAATATTAAACTCGGGGCAAAGGCCAAGCGATAATAATAAATTCGTACGACGCAATGCTTAAATTTTAGTTGCACGGAAAAAAAAATAACATGTAAATAGCAAATTATTCTAAAATCTATAATTAAACGTAAGTGTAAAATTCCTAATTTGCAAAATTCACATGACAGTATTATCCAAATTTATTTTAATTGATAAGTTTATTGGCCGTTAATATTAATAGTAAGTATTATTATATTTAAAAATAACAAATTGCTATCCTAATTCGTTTAAAAATGCAACAAATTTATAAATTAATATAAATAATTATTCTTCAAATTTGAAAATACTGTTTTTTTTTTTTTACAAATAATGACATCAATTGGTTGGTATTTACGGCAACATTTTTAAAAACAAGCATAAACAAACAAAAGGCCTTTTGGGACCAGGACTTGATGAACTTGTAAATTGCTGCATATGTTGTTTTATTAGAAACACCACATAACTCTGAACAGAGGAGAAGGAAAAATGTTTAAAATCGAATATGCTAGATTTCAAACTTCTACTTCATATTCAAACCTGATCAAATGTTTCCAACGGCAGTATTATGAATTAATTTATAGAATAAATGAGGTTCAGAATTATTGTTTTTATTGATTGACAGGCGACTTTCATAATCAATTTTTGCATCGACTTTTCCTTTTTTGACATTTATATTTGGTTTTCTTTAATTTTGTTGTCAATCCACTTCATCATTTTCCAATTGGTTGATTTCATTTTGAATTTCCTGTTCAGGATTATTAAAGTTAATTATGACAACTATGAAAACTATGTATGGTATTACAGATACAGTAACGATCATTTATTAAGAAGGAGAACAACTATAGTTTCATCGTAATCATGACATCAGGGAACTCTTGAACTTAAGAATTCCCCCAAATTTTTATTAATAGGGGTCCTCAAAGATTCCTTGATTTATTATTAGGGGTTCTTATATATTTATATGATACATATAGTACACAGTGAATCTCGATTTAACGGATAGTTTGGGCAATTAGGGAAAATTTTCCAAAAATCCGTTAAACCGAGATAT